CTCTACGGTCATTTGCCACTTCTGTTCAAAGCAGATAAGAATGAGCTTCAGAATTTAGCAGTTCGTCATCTGGCCAAAAAAGTGTAGACTTCTGTAGCCCACCTGACTTCTTTACTAGTGCGAAAGATTGTGGTTGCTTAATGCGTCACGAGTTATCAGAAAATTGGAATATGATAGCATCACTTAAGCTGCTGGTCAGCTGGAATCGCTAAATGTCCTGTATCATGAATGATTCTGAAGCATAGTCGAACTCAAATTCTGTCTTGCTTAGCATAGCAAAAAGTGCTGCACTCATGCTAACAGCACAGCGGATAAAAAGTATTTTTAGCTAGAAAATTCCCGCTAGCTTTAAACGCTTCTTCTAATGTACAAATTGTAGTTTTTTTAATGTTTAATTACTGGCGTCTTTTTAGCACCAGACACGAGCTCTGCCAGACAATACACGTCGCGGCATTGATGGGATTTTTTACATGGGTCGTGGACATCGAGGTGTCATTAATTCCAGGTATCATTTTACGGATTATCATTTTGAAGAGTACCGAAAGTTTTAACGAAAACAACAAAAGTATTATTCGTCACCAGGCCATTTGTTCTGTAATGATCTTTGAAACTACAAGCAATTCCGTCACTGCGGCATACGTACCTTATCTTAAGATAGAGACTTTCTATGGTCTGTTGAAGCTTGCCAGGACTGTGAAGTCTCTATCTGGCACCAAACCTGCCTCGTCAGTTGCTATGTGGGTGGTTAGTTCTGATAATAGTTTTAGATCATGGTCATGGTGCGTGACTCCACTGCAAGATGACCGTACAGTCATTAGCAATTTTCCCCGGCAGAAGTAAGCGGACCGCAAGATGTTTCTTGGCGAAGTTAATAGTTTCCTCAGGACGTTGCTTGTTATTCGGCTTGGCTTTGAGCACTTCTGGCGACCGCTTTTGTTTTTACCTCTCCGGTTCGATGTCCTCAACACATAGTTTTCCTATGGGCTGGCGTTGCAGATCGTGTGCGAGAGGTCTAGATCCGACATCATGCGAAGAACCGATGCTGCATTATTGGTGGTGACAAAGAAGGATCATCATCACCTTGCAAGGAGTTCCTTAGCATAGGCTGCGACCACGAACGTTTTCTAGGTGCCAGACAGAGCCTCCTGGAAGAGGATCGGGTGCTACCACTGAGAGATGTCACGACGCTTGACTGCTCTGGATTAAGATGATCATGATCAATCAGCTCGGGGAGGCTATGAGGGATACCATGAATACCTGTGTCCGCAGGACAGTGTGCCGGTAGACGTGGGCGATTCCATCTAACGCCACAGCAGGTGACACGGGCTGTTGCAGACGGAACTTCAGGGCAGTATCAGGGAAGACAAAGCTGTACTTGTTTGCTGTTGGCATTAAAGGCTCAGCATCAGCGAGAGCGCGACAGTCATCCTTATTAAGTTCGATGACCATCGTCACCGCACGGGCGTCACTGGAGGATGTAATGAATGTTCTCGTATTGAGACTCATTTAGGCTTTGCAGAGGATGGTGCATTATAAGGCCTATGGCCGCAAGCAGTTTGTCCTTTAGGTCCGGAACGCCTGGTAGTTCATCGCCTCAGAGGGACAGTCAGAACCAAACGGATTAGAAAATAAGAGAAGTTACCGGTTGCTGAAGGGTTCTAGGCCGAAAAGGATTGTGCGAAGCTCCCTTTCTCAACGATGTCGAATCTCTGTTGACCAGGGAAACCTGGGGCTAAACAGACTGGTTACTCATGAGGGGACTAAGTGTCGCGCTAGAACAAAGTGGCTCCAAATTTTAGCGGGCTAGTGGACTCAATAAGTATTCCTCAGCCTGACGCATGGAGTACGCGAAGCGCTCTATAAATTCAGCTGTACATCGTAGGCCCCAGCATGGCTTTTCTGATGCCTACAGTGGCACTCCACACAGACCGCGTAATGTGAGGCTAACGGACGACGTACGCACTTTGGTAGAGCAGGGTGGCGTAGGCTCTTGTTTGGTTTCCCAACGTTGACGACTGCTCCTTGCCGTTTTGGGATAATTCTCGCATCCCGAAACTTCAAGCACAACAAGTGTCTGAAGATCGGAGAAACTCTGGGAGTTTTCGCGGTCGAGATTCACGACGAGCGAATTGTGATTAATCACCAGGAGCAGTGGCATACTCCCCATCTCAGAAAGTGCTGCTTGGAATTCAAGAGAGCAGCGGCCTGGGCGATAGTAATAACACAACGAAGTACTGCGTCGCGGATTAAAAGATTAGCGAAAGTCCACATGTCACCCTGGCCCGATTAGTTTTTACTGAATTGGATGCAACTAACACTGCAGAATTAGGGCCACGTTGAGGCTCTTTACCCGCGTTTACCAGAGCAGTTGTATTAGAGCGGGAGTTTCCGAGGGGACAACTTTGACTAAGTTGCGAGCTGTTGTTCCGGTCGCAGCAGAAGCACTGGAGCGACGCTTGAGTGTCGAAAAATTTCGAGTTTTGCTGGATGCTGCAACTAATAAATTTGTTGGTCCTTGACTGCGTCTGTTCGAACACAGCTGATGTTGTTGTCGGCCGTGATCGTCGGAGGTTGGCTTCGAGTGTTTTATAATTCTTCGTGGAGGCCTACTGTGAAGAAGGGTACTCCCGCACATTTTCGATTTCGCTAAAACACATTTCTAATTAGTTTTCTTTTTGTTTACTAACTTACCCCATTTCTTAAAAAAACTGATTTTGAACAACTGTGATTACTTTTTACTGTTAAAAACTTCCAACATTTACTGGAACTGTTTCGTTAGCTCTCGACCATTTTCATTCACGCCTCGTGCCATATGGCATCCGCAGCCCAACAATACCAATGTGCGCCGATCCGAAGCTTCGGGCAATTCGATACAACATGCAAGCGGTGCTGCAGCAGCTGCTTCAGATCCAGCTGCAAATGGCGGAGGTAATAACCAGAATGCCGGCGATTGTGTCCGCACTCCTAAAACTGTGAGGTATGCTGCCCAAACAATTCAGAAAAAATCGACTTTGCTTTTCCAGAAACTTGTCACATAGCTTTGGCATCATTCTGAGTGTCGAAAATGCTATGTTCTTAAAGAAGCCTGTGGTATTGTCCCGGTTCATCTTTCGCTCGCCATTATGCTTTATTTCTGAAATTCAATCAATAAACAGCAATGGTAATGACTAAATTTCGATTCGAAAATCAAATCTGAAGTTCTAAACTGACACTTACGAATCATTCATGGTTCGTTTTATTTCCAGTCGCAATTCAAAAGAAAAAGACGATGAACTCAATTAAATTGAGGTCGTATTAATGCAATTTTATTTTATTTTGCAGATCGCCGGTGACACGTACTTTTCTTAATGCAGCATTGCGTGGAGGCCGAAACTGGCGCGGCAATGCAGCAGCAGCGGCAGCACGCTCAAATCAGAATAACACGGCCAGAACCGATTCCAGCTCGCGACAAGTCAACACAGCGCGACAAGTTACCTTCAGCGAAAGTATCACATTTTCCAATTCTGTGTTGGCTTTGCATTTGGAAACTGTTACGCTGAAATCTTTTTTCGAATAAATCTTCAAGATATGAA